GTAAAGAGGCATCAGTATAAATGCAACGCAGTGATCATGAAGCTCCATGCCTGATAACAGAAGATTTAAGTTCAGAAAGAGCAGACCAACAGCTCACAGCATCATGTGAGCATCAATATATTTTACAGAGAGAGTCGGTGTAGAAATCAAAGAGGGAAGAGCAGAATTCATAGTCCTACTCTCCAATGAATTTTCCAAGAGACTACTACCAACACCTAGAACCTTAGTCTCCTCGACTATAAAATTACTTAAAAATTAACACCTGCTACTCCAGTCTGCCTACCTCAAAGGGTAATGAAAGGGAACAAAAGGCAGATTGCTGGTAAAAGTACTTTTAATAGTGAATCATGTCTGTTAGTAATATTGAGCGGATGCACTAAACATAATAATGCCTTTGATAATTTTAGACAATCAGCCCCAATTCTATCCCTTTCTTATAAACTAATCAAACCTAAATGAGACTAAGTATGTGTTTATAAATTCGAAGCCATTTTCTATGTGATGGTACATGTCTGTGGCACATAGAGCAAACATCTCCTTGATTTTAAATACATAAAATCTAAAAGGAAAATAACTTTAAAATAGGAATTTTATTCCTGGTAATTAAATTCCTAACTATACAAGTTCCATGCAAGCTCAAACCAGACAAAATCCCACATAGACATGGAGACATAAGAAAGAAATTCCAATTTAACCTAAGGAACTCTTGGCAACGGATGGCTGCTGGGAGGGAGACAGTCTCTTTCAAGGACCTAGTTGGTTAACCAGACTCCAGTGGATGGACCCACACTGAAGGACAATTGGGGAACAAATTAGACTACAGACCTTATTTTAAATATATATATTATATTAACTGAGAGACATGTGGAGACACAAATCAGACTCTATAGAGCCTGTATTGTATATAGGCTGTATTATATATACAGTGGAGTACATTAAATTTGGAGTGGGGCAATGGGGGAGGTGTGAATGGGAGAGGGAATCTAAATACCATCAAATTATATTGTATGAAAATCCACACAAAGTCAATTTCAGGCGTGGTGGCGCACGCCTGTAGTCACAGCACTTGGGAGGCAGAGGCAGGCATCTCTGTGAGACTGGTAAGACTTCTCATAAAGAAAAAACCAGAATATCTCCAAATAATTTACAGCTAATCACAGTGTAAAACAAAAAAAAAAAAAAAAAAAAAAAATTCCTAGCTAAGCCTCCTTCCTCAAACACAAGTACTCCTAACTCAATAGGCATAATGGAGGATAACTTCATAAAAGCTCATAAAATATGAATTTACAGTCCTTCCTTTTACATCTTTTACATTCCACTTTTTCTATTAAATCACTGATTTAAAAAAAAAAAAGCAATTAACATCCACAATCTTTGCAGTCTGGTAATTACTTGTCTGAACAGGATATGCACAATCCTCTAAAAATCATTTTCTCCTCCAAATTGTGGATTCTTGGGATTAATAGACAATTTTACTGAAAGGGTAAGCCTTGATAACAGAACAATGGTATTGATCTGGGTTATATTCACCTAGACAGCGTGCTATTGTGAATTAGCCACAGTTACTGCGGTTTCACAGTATTATCTGTAAGACAGCATTTTCCTTCCTTGTATTTTCTGCTTCTTTCATATCATTGTTACCACCACAATAGAGAAGTCCTAAAACGTAGTTCAGGAAAATAATTTGAACCTGAACTTGGGCCTCTTGAAACAACTACATCTGTTGTTAGCTCCCCGCCCCCCCGGCCCCGACACACACACACACCAAGCTCATATTCAAAAGCACTCACACTTATCTGGTCTTTTTCTCCTTTCTTCAAAAGTGGGGGGAGGGGGCTGTCAGTGTGTAAAAATAAGCTATTGTATCTTAGAAAGGAGATGGGATGCTAATTAAGGGTTGTTTGAATGAGCAACTCACATTGCACTGTCGGCTGGGAGCCGGCTGTCAATTGCTTTTTTGGTAAGGAATCAAGGAAAATGTTCAAGAAGGCCAGGCAAGCCTGGAAGAAAAGAGAACCATGTTTCCATTTATCTAGTAGTGCAGCGCCCTGTTGAGTATCAAGAAAGTCAGGGTGCAGTAGGCAAGCCCCTGACTGGCAAATTTTCCCTTCCTTTTCTCTGGTCAACTCTTTTATCAAGATTGTATCCATTTTTCTGGACTCATCTGGGTAGCAGGAGTGCTGGATACACAATAGCTTGGGAAATAACTGCTGCTGAGTTTGAATCCCAAGCACCCACATAAAAAGCCTGGCATTGTTAAGAAACCCTAGAGCCAAAGGGGGTGGGTACAGATGGGAGGATTGTGGGGACTTCCTGGCTGCCAGCCTAGCTACAGGTTCAGTTGTCTCAAGAGAAGGAGGTGAAGACAGGCAGAGCAGGAGGTCTTCCTCTGCCCCCTGCACACCACTGTGCAGGCACCCACACAAATGTGCACAACACACACACACACACACACACACACACACACACAATATCCAGGGCAATTTTAGATATTTACCAACATGTAGGTGGAGTGGGAAATAAGTCACTCTATCTTTAAACAAAAAGGATTTCTTTTAAATGTTTAAATTTTATTTATTATTGGGACAGCAGTATGCCTAAGTCAGAGAACTTAGTGGAGTTCCTTCCCTGTGGGATCCAGGGTTCAAACTCAGGTTATCAGGTTTGATGGATAGCCTGAGCCTTTATCAGCATGAAATCAGACAGATGAAGCCTCTAGTTTGATTGCCTAGCAACATGGAGTAGCACGTAACTAAAGCTGAAATGACATACTTCACTGGAAAGGTTCAAAGCAGGAGAATATATGTAACTATTGTATATATATATATATATGTATATATATATATATATATTTATTGTAATGAATGAGAGAAGCTGTGGTTCCCCAGGGGAGCTGACTTTCTTCTGGTGCCTGTGTGCAGAGTAGGTGGACTCAGCATTATAAAACCCTGGAGGTGTGCTTCGGATGCAGTGCTCATCTCTACCTTGAGTTTCGTGAATCAATAAACATTTTGCTAATTTCTTGAATTGATATGCTTTTTTTCCAAGTATATTTATATACTTTTATAATACATGTAAAGAACTGTGTCAGGGATGGAAAGATGGCTCAGTGGTTAAGAACACTGTTCTTGCAGAAGACCTGGGTTCGAGTCCCAGCACCCACATGGCAGCTAACAACTGTCCGTAACTCCAGTTCCAGGGGATCCGACAGCCTCTCCTGCCCTCTGCAAGCATTGCAAGATACAGGTGCACTTTCAGACATGCAGGCATAACACTCATACACATAAAAAATAATAAATGAAATATTTTTTTAAAGTTTTAAAAAAGAACTAAGTTTCTTGAGTACTAAATATTGCAGACTGAAGGCAATATGTGAAAGAATTTCTACAAAAATTTGTGTATATTTGGGAAAAATATGGTACTTAAATAACAATTGTGAACATTTCTAAAATTAGTATTACTTCCCTGGGCATTCCAAATAAGACATTAATCTATCTCTATCTCTCTCTCTCTCTCTCTCTCTCTCTCTCTCCCTTTCTCCCTCCCTCCCTCCCTCCATCTACTTCCCAGGTGCTGGGTTTACCTGCTTACACAACCATGCCTGACAAAACATGAACTTTCATCCCTTACATTTTAATTCTTAAAATATGGGATTAAAAAGATAATAGTTCATTTTCAGTTGTTTATCTAGACAGGCATGGTGGTACACACCTATAATTCCAGCACTTAGGAGACAAAGGGAGAAGGCACAGGAGTTCCAGGACAGACTAGGTTACATAATAGAGCCCTGTCTCAATATAAAAACAAAAACAACAGAAACTGAATAGTCCAGTTGCAGTTATTTTAAAGGTAAAATTATAGGCATTATGAACTTTCTCATATACTTGCATCTCATTTTACAGTTTTCTTTTAATATAGTGCCTAGGTAAAAAATAACAATAAAATAATATTTAGTGTATGAAAATTTCATCACTTGGATTAATGATCAAGTACTCACTAACTTTAAAATGTAGCAACAAGGACCAGTAAGATGGTTTGGCAGGTGAATGCACTTGCCACCAAGCCTGGCAACATGATTGCTCCTTGAGACCCACATGGTAGGAGAGAACCAACTCCTGCAACTCGTCCTCTGACCTCCACACCTGTGCTGTGACATGAGCATGCCCACACATATACATGTATGCACACACACACAACAAATAAAATACAATATGAATAATTATAGCAATAATAATAATGATGTTTTTTAAGTGTTTGCTGTATGCCTGGCTGTGTCCTAAGTACTTTCCATGTATTAAATCATGAGGAAACTGAGGTCAGAGAAGTCCAGTACCTTGCTCATAGTTTCTCAGCCATTAAGTGGTGAAATTAAACTTTGGAGTGCCAAGTCCAAACTCTGCCAAGTTCTATCCCCTTGTTTGCAATATAATTATCACTCCTATGAAGTCCTTCCCAAAGGATCCATTATAAAAATATGTCAAGCATAATTTTATTGTATGCTTATGTCAGTGGGTCCCATAATGAAATGAGACCTTGGAAACAATACTTTGCACGTATTAATGGCCTCTACGTCTGCTCTGCGTCCCAGGGAGACTTCATTCTATGGGCATGTAACACAGTACAGATATTCTTGTCAGGCACATTGGTTTGATGAAGCAGGAAATGGTGCCTTGCTTCAGTCACCATGAGAGAGAGAGAACGCATTCCTTTTATTTTTAAAATTCTTAAATTCTCTGTAGAAGTCTGGGAAATTTGACCTTATTTTTATTATTGGTATGGGGATAGTAGTAACAGTGACAAACACATGTAAAACACAACTTTATTGAGATCTATTTTCCACATCATATAATTCACCTGTTCTTAGTATAATTCTTAACAGAATTATAAAAACCAACATTCTATTTTTTAGTTAAATGAACTAAAATATTTTGAAATGTCTGAAAAATACTGCAAGGCTGATAAAAACTGTTCTGTTTGCTGTGTTCTTTCTCCTCCCCCAGAAATGTGTGCTGTACTGGCCAGAAAAAAGAGGGATTTATGGCAAGGTTGAGGTTCTGGTTATCAGTGTGAATGAATGTGATAACTATACCATTCGAAACCTCGTTTTAAAGGTAAGATTATGGAGCTATTTGCTATCTTCAACACAGATGAGGCTGGGGATTATATTTCTACTTTGAAATGGCTTGTCCTAATAAGTACTAACAGATTCAACTCATACAAGCTAAATAATGTTGAGATCAAAGACAAGCTTTAATCATTCCCTCATGTATTTCTTTGTTGTTAGCTATTAATATGTGGAATAATTAAATTAATGTAGGTAGACATTAAGGAAGTTCATTTTGCAGGATTCTGGGGGGTCTTCCAATTTTCATTAATTCAATATCTCTGATTTAACCTTTGCAAAACCTTTAACTAAAGACTTGTGCAGGAGACTTTGTCAGGCCAGGATATTTACACTAAAGCTTTCTCAAGGTAAAAAAGTATTTTTCAAAAGCCGGCTAGATTTTTTTCTACCTAGAGGTAAGTTGTCAGCAAGAAAGGAGCCAAAAAAGGCATTCAGCATTGTGTTGGGGATGATTTTTAATTCCACAAGTAAATAAGGAATTTGACGGCCGTTGCTATTTTCAGCAAGGAAGTCACACCCAACATGTGAAGCATTACTGGTACACTTCATGGCCTGACCACAAGACTCCAGACAGTGCCCAGCCCCTTCTGCAGCTCATGCTGGATGTAGAAGAAGACAGACTTGCCTCTGAGGGCCGAGGGCCCGTGGTTGTCCACTGCAGGTAAGACATGACTGATTTTCTGCCTAAGCAACTGTCCATTCTTTAATCATAGAGCAGGCAGAGGTAGGGCTTGGCTTCCTGGATATGACTTTGCTGGTAAATTAAAAATCTATCAAAACTGGTTAGTGTCCTAAGATTTGAACCTTAATTAAAACAATACTTATAGAAATGAATTCCTGCTCTCAAGACATTTTTAGCAACATCAAATAAAATACAAATACTAAATAAATGTTGAGTAATCAGAAGACCTTATTCAGTCATTTGACTTGAAACTCTGCTGATTCATTTTTGTCTCATTAGTCACATATATGCTAAGAATTGTGAGTTTTTTTTATTTTTTTTAGTTCTTGATAAATCTTTGTTGTTTTAAAGTGGTGCCCCAACACTATGGATTGTGTCTTGATAGCATTTACTATTATGTCAGATTTGGTGGAACACAACACTTTTCAGAGTTATCTCATGGAAAACAGGTGGAAATAAACTTACAAAGTGAGAAATGAGTGAGTGGCCATTCTTTAAAGGGGAAAAAAGTACTGTGACCAAACATGGGGCACAGAGACCAGGCAAACGAGAGCATCAGGTGTTCCTCTTGTCTATCTTAAAGGTCACTTCCTGTAACTGGCACTTTCCCCTGGTTTTCCTTTGAGTGTAATTAAAGCAAGCTTTTTAAAGTCATTTATATGACCAGCCATGTATTCTCTATATTCTCTCAAAATAATTTATGCTGCTTTGTTTAACCTTATGTTTCCTAGGAAAACTTAATAAAATACATTATTTTAGGTTGATTGCTCTCTTTCCGTTTTGAAACTTTGTGGATTAATAGTTATTACGTGTCTATTTATCCAAAAGTGTCAAAATTCAGTTTCTAGCATTAGACCTTATCCTAAACCCTTGGCGGGAAAGAGGGAAAAAAACTTGTTGGCCATAATTTAGGGTTAGAACTGTCCCACCCAAAACCATTAAACACTTAGGATATCAAAGCTGAAATAGGCACTTCCCCTATAAAACAGGTCCCTTTTGATTGCTGGTTCTAGGAATGAGACCTCCTTTGTTTAGTCACTCACATCCAATGGTGACAGTTATCTTTGGCTATTCTTTCAACTCCAGTCTTGGTATCTAATCAGTTACCAGATTGGTTTTTCCCTTCAAAGCTTCTCCCATAGCCATACTTCCTGTCCAACCACCCTAGTTCAGGCCCTTATGACCTCATCCGTGTAGTTTAGAAGTACTTGACTAATTGCACACACATACCCTTCTCCCCAGGCCACTCTGGTCTATCCCCTTCGCTTCTCTGGGATAATATTTCTGAAATTGCATCGCACACAGTCCTTGCTCAGAACTGCTCAGTGGCTTCACATCACCTGGAGTCTTGACTGTATGGGCACGCTACAAGAATCAGTGAATTCCTTGACATTATTTAAACAAATGTACATGTATAGACATATGTGAGCTTCTTTCTGGAGAGTGAAGGTTCCTAGTTCCCATAACATTTTTAAGTATTTTTAAAAGTATGGATGGGGCTGGAGAGATGGCTCAGTGATTAAGAGCACTGGCTGTTCTTGCAGAGGACCCAGGTTGGATTCCCGGCACCCACAGCTAACAACCATCCATAACTCCAGTTCCAGGGGATCTGACCCCATCTTCTGACCTCCATGGGCACTGCATGACATGAGTGCACCTATATGCATGCAGGCAATACACTCATGCACATGAAATAAAAATAATAATTTTAAAAAATTTTAAAGTATGGAGGATGTAGTTTGAGCCTCATAGCCTTCCATGTACAATTCTAGCTTCCCTTCCCAGTCTACTTCCCACTTGTACACTGAAATAACTTCTTTTCCAATGGTTAATCTGTTTTGTGTCACAAATGATATATTCTGTTTTTCATCCATTTTCCTTTATACCACTGTCATATCTAGAGCATACGTTCTCATTCATGAGGGACAAAGTACCTGTCATTCATCGAATATAGTTCAAATCCTGTTTCTCCAAAGACACAAAGTCTTAATAGACATTTCAGCTAAAAGCAGCCCATTCCTTCTGAACTCCTAGTCACATTCAACAGGGAAAAAATCCTAAGTATGAGAAATAAATATGATTGATGGAAATAAGAACAAGAGCACATACAGGAGAAGAAAGAGTTTAAACATTAGTGACATTAAGGCTTTGCAAAGTCTTTTGACTACCAGGTAGGTTAGATGCTGTGCTGTAATTTATTGGAGCCATCTGCAGTATCTGAGTTAGGGGTGATGTACTGAAGTCCTTGTTTCAGAGTGATGAGCTTAGCAGCTGTACCAAGAAGAGACCTGAAAGCTGGGAACAGTCATGTTATCACAGTTGGTCTTTAAATAAGGAGAGAGTAAGGGTACAAACACTCTACTGAAGGGGAAGCATGGATCCCAAAGGCTCGATCAAGGTCAAAACATAGAAGAAATGGTGACCTGTGGGAGGTGGGAGGTGAGAGAGGGGAAAACACAGACGACAGCTCCAAGACTTCTAGCCTGGATAAGGTGTAACTGATGAGTAATGCCACTGGTCGGGGGAGATAATTCCACTTTAAACATATGGACAGTGTGCACCATAACAACAGCAAGAGTTTCATCAAGGGCAAACTTAGGAAGTCAGATACAGAGTTGGGAGAAATTTGGTGGAGATGGTGGTAGAAATGAGGGGAGGACAGGTTGTTGGGTTGATTCTGTTGACTTATGGTCTATAGCAGATAAACACGTAAGTTCTCCAAGACACACAGCATTTTTATTCAATTATCACCTCTCTGTGAGAGACTTAGACACAGAACTGAATCTTTGGTTATTGCTAGACTTGTAACCCTCCTTGCAGTCATGCCTTCTTTCAGGTCTCCCTCTGCCCAGGAGGAACCGCCAACCTTTTTGCCCTTCAGCCCTGGTCTGCTTTGACATCTGCTTTGACTTGTGCTTTTTCCACTATTTAACTCCAGTCTCCAGATCCACATTCATGATGTGTCTTAATCGTTCTTCACTTTTTTACTGTCCATTTTTTACTTAAATTCAAGCCTTAATTATTCTTTCTAAAAATGATTGCAATTCTGTCCACTTCACCTCCCTCCATCCCTCTTATAACTAAATGAAAGAATATTTTTAATTTATTTTTATTTTATGTGTACAAGTTCATTGTCTGCCCATAAGTGAATGTACCCAAGTCATGCAGTGCCTGCAGAGGCCAGAAGAGGGCGTCAGATCCCCTGGAACTGGAGTCACAGACAGTTGTTAGCCACCATGTAGGTGCTGGGAACTGAACCCAGGTCCTCTGCAAGAGCAGCCAGTGCTCTTAACCACTGAGCCATCTCTCCAGCCCCAAAAGAATATATTTTAATCACGGCACAGGCCTAGGTTTGTAATACTCAGGACATTACAGTTTTTTCATTGTTGTTATTAGTCTTCATTGTTGTTTCAAAACTAAAAGTATCCTTTCAGGCCAGGTGTGGTGGTGCACACCTTTAGTCCCAGCCCTCGGGAGGCAGAGGCAGGTGGATCTCTGTGAGTTCAAGGCCGGCCTGGTCTACATAGTGAGTTTAGGTCAGCTGAAAGACCTGTCTCAAAAAGAACAAAAAAAAAGTATCCTTTCAGAGGAATGCATCTTAATGTCATTTTCCTCATTTCTAAATTCCTTTCTTTTCCTTTCAGTGCAGGGATTGGTAGAACAGGGTGCTTTATTGCTACAGCCATTGGCTGTCAACAGTTGAAAGAAGAAGGAGTTGTTGATGTTCTAAGTATCGTCTGCCAGCTTCGTATGGACAGGTAAGCACACAAGCTGTCCATCACAGCCTGGTCTGACCAGCTTCACTTCATAAACATGACAGTTCTGAGGTCCTAGATCTCTACACCGAAGAATGTACATTACAGGCAGGGAAAAAGGCTTAGTGGGTAAAGTATTTGCCCGTGTAAGCCTGAAGACCAGAGTTCAGATCCCCAGCACCCACATAAAAAGCCAGGTGAGCATGGCAACCTTCCTGTAAGCCCAAAGATCAGGATGTCAGAATCCCTAGAACAAGTTAACTAACTAGACTGGTGTAACAGGTTCAGTGGGAGACCCTGCCTCAGTATACAAGGTGAAGTGATTGAGGACAACACCTAACATTAACCTTGTTCCTACACACACACACACACACACACACACACAAATGGACACACATATCACATACATAAACAAAAAAAGAGAGAAAACGCATTACATTAAAAAGACATTTAGGTCAAGCTTGGTAGTTCATAGCTGTAATACCAACACTTGGGATACTGAGGTGAGAGGATTGATGTGTTTGAGACAGCTTGGGCTACACATTGCGTTCCTGGCCAGCCTAGACTACAGAGATCCCATCTTTAAAAAAAGAAAAGAGAGGGGCTGGAGAGATGGCTCAGTAGATAAGAACACTGGCTGTTCTTGCAGAAGACCCAGGTTCGAATCCCAGCACCCACATGGCAGCTAACAACTGTCTCAACTCCGTTCCAAGGGATCCGACAGCCTCTTCTGTCCTCCATGGGCATTGCATGACACAGGTGTACTTACCTACATGCAGGCAATACGCACACACACATAAAATAATAAAATGTTTTTTAAAAAAGAAAAGAGACAAACAGAAAAAAGAAGGGAAGAAAGGAGGGAAGGAGGGAAAAGGGAAGGGAGGAGGGGGGAGGGGAGGGGGAAGGAAAGAAGGAAGGAAGGAAGAGAAAGAAAGGAAGGAAGGAAGGAAGGAAGGAAGGAAGGAAGGAAGGAAGGGAAAAAAAGAAAGTGAAGATCCAGGCTTGGTGACACATATAATCAGAAGTTGGAGGCCAGTCTGGGATACATAGCAAGACCTTGTCACAAAACAACAACAAAAAGACATTGAAGAAAGTATTGTCTATAACACCAACCATCAAAAGCACAAATTCCAAAACTTATGCTTAATTCTTCTTCATCTCTAATGTGTTTATAGTGTCTTAATTACATATTTTTATGTATAATCAGTACTTTCTTTTAACATAATTGAATCACTCTGTTTAGTATCTTTTTGAATATTTTATTCATTACTTTTAATTTGGTGTGTATGAGTGTTTTGTCCGCATGCATGTAAGTGTACCTGTGTCGTGCAATGCTCATGGAGGTCAGACAAGGGCGTTGGATCCCTTGGAACTGGAGTTAAAGACAGTTGTTAGCTGGCATGTGGGTGCTGGAATTCAAACCAGGTTCCTCTATAAGAGCAGCCAATGCTCTTAACTGCTGAGCCATCTCTCCAGCCCCTCAGTTTAGTATCTTGAGCCTTTAAAATAGGCATATTTGCTGCAGCCAAGAATCATTTTAGAAGGAAAAAATATATTTTTTAAATTGTGGTAAAATGCACATAAATAAAACTTACCATGTTAAGCATTTTTAAGTGGCTATTACAGTAGTAAGGACCCTCCCATTGTTGTACAACCCATACTCAGAATTGCTTTCAGCTTGCAAAGCTCTGGGCTCATTAAGCAATCCTTCCACCAGCCCAGCACTTGGCAGCCATCATTCTACTTTCTGTCTCTATGAGTTAACTATCATAGGTCCTCCTCCTCCTCCTCCTCTTCCTCCTCCTCCTCCTCTTCCTCCTCCTCATTTTCCTCCTCCTCCTCCTCCTCCTCCTCCTCCTCATTTTTCTTCTCTTCAGTTTTTGAGCCAGGGTTTCATGTAACACAGGCTAGCCTTACATTGTAGCATGCACTACATAGCATGCACTACCACACTTGACTCTAGATAATAATCATACTATGCTTGTCTTTCTGGGTCTGGTTTATTTTACTTTTATTTCACTTAGCATGGTATTCTCAAGGTTTATCCATGTTCTGACATGTGTCAAAATGCCCTTCCTTTTCGAGACTGAATAATACTCCATTGTATGTCTATACCGCATTGTGTTTGTCCATTCATCTTTTAATGTGCTTGTGCATTGTTTCTACCCTTTGGCTATTATGAACAGTGCTGCCTGAAGCATGGTGCACACATATTTGAGACTCTGTTTTAAATTTGGGGGGGATTATTATATCACATGATAAACCTATTTTTAATTCCCAAGTAACCCCTATACTGTTTTCTACAAAGGTTTTGAGTTTCTCCATATCCTACCACTTTATTTTTTCCAGTTTTTTTAAATTAATATGGTAGCCATGCAAATTGGTCTAAGTGGGAAATTTCTTTTCATACAGAGATGGTTTGATTACCCTTGTGACAGTCGCTGCTATGTTTTGAAAACATACCAGACAAGAAACTTCATTCCTCCACCGCTGAGTAGATGAGTGGAGAGGCAGGTCAGTGACAGGGAAAGAGCAGATGGCCCTTTGACAGTGTCACTGAGCAGCAGGCCCCTGCCTGACAATGCAATGCGCTCTAGGAAGAAGAGTTGTTCTCTTTCATTCAAACACAAATACTTCCTAACCATCTAGGATTGTTCTAGATGTCCAACATGCAGGTATAGCCTTAAATAAGATGATGAGGCTTCTTTTTCTCCTAGAGTTGACATGTTGACAGAGAGGAAGAAAGAAGAAGCAAAGACATAAGCAAGATTATTTCAGTCAGAAGCAAATGCTATAAAGAAAATGAAAAAGGCTTGGGAGCTAAGTTCCTTGGACTCAGTCAGCCCTGAGACCTAGAGTTTCCTAAAAGCAAAATTATATAGTTAGAGTTATCCTTTAAAGTTCCCTGGCCATATATGACTGGTGCACACCTCCAATCCTAGAACTTGGGAAGCTGAGGCAGGAAGATTGCTGAGTACATGCTAGCCTGGGCTACATTAGTGAGTGCTAGGTCCGTCATGGCTGTATACCAAGACCCTAATCACAAAAAAGAGATAAACCTTGAGAACTTGTTTGGAGGTTCTAGCAGGGGAGTGCAGCTACTCGTATACCCTTGACTGAGACGGGTCCTCCTCTATCGGGGAAGGTCGTCCTCTTCAATCGAGCATGCAGCTTTGGGAGAGATGCACGTGGAATGTTGAGGGAGGAAGGGGACACCACCTAGCCAGACAGATCAGCCGAATCAACCCTGGAGATCAATGGGCTGACAGATGTCACAGCCATATCGCCCTCAGGATAGCAAAGAGCAGTCAAAAGAAACCCACATCAAAATTATGCTGAGAAAAGAGCCCTGGGTGTTAAGTGGCCCGTCTGAAGTGGGCTTGCCCTGGAGTGAGCCACGCCATGAGATAAATGGGTATACCCTAACACACTCAGCTGCCTTGCCCACAGCATCAGCTGGGGTAATGACCCCTACCCTACTTACTCTGCTGGGCTTTCATAAGGCTCAGGATTTCCCTGTAGTCCCAGCTGGCATGGAACTTGCTGTGGAGACTAGGCTGCCTCTTCCTTCCGAGTGCTGGCATTAAAGGCATGCCACACCATGCTTGGCTCCGTTTCCCTATCTTTAAACTGAGGCGATTGTATTGAATGACACTAAGTTCGGTGATCTGCCAATCTAAACCTGGGCCTGGGGTAGCCTGTACATAGAGTCGAGTTGTCCAGTACATAGCTGCCACTACTCTCTCTAGATAACAACACAGCTGCTGGCTGCCATCCTCAGGCATCTCACCATCTGCATGGGGATTTCATGATAAAACAAGAGAAAGGATCCATGGCCATCGGGTGCCTTGTAAACACGTGGGATTCCAGCCTGGGCCTGTGCACTCCAGCAGCTGGACTTCCTTGTTAACACCTCTGACCGTGTTTTTAGTCGTTGTAGTAGAGAGACTGTTTCTCCCTTCTCCCCATCCGGTGCCACCCTCAAGTTGTTTTCTAGCATCTTATATCTCATGCATTAATTTTCATTTCCTTTATTTAAAGAAAATAAGATATTTTGCTAGAGTGCAGTATAAAATTATTGAAGACTTTGCACCTTAGGACTGTTTATACTTTCAAAACAGTCTTTGGTATGCTGATAAGAATATGCGCTCCAATAGCATCCCATGTTTTGTCATTTTTATTTTCTAGGACATTGCAAAGTTTCATGCTGATGCTGGTACATACTCAGGGAAGGTCTGACTATTCCTTTTTCATGGAAGGAAGAGCTTAGACAGGGGAAGGGAAGCCCTGTAAGGGACATAGCAGAGCTGGGGCTTAAGTCTTTTCTCCATCTTATTTAACCTTCTGTAAGATGCATTCCCCAGGATACATTCCTATACTTGACTGTGCAATCACCCATGGGTCCTGTTAGGTAAGCAAAGAGAGGAAACTGAGGCAGAGATGTAAAAAACAGTCCTAAGCAATGCCCTGTAGCGATTTCAGATATAAAACCCTGCCTTCTCAGAGCTGGCACCTTTCACTGCATCAGTGGACTTTGATTTCACCCCGGCTCCTGAAAACTGCAAGCCATGTCTTCCAATGTAAAAGTCTGCCATGTCTTAGGGGCTCATTGAGGAAAATGACAGTGAAACAGAGGTAAAGACAGGAGAAGAAAGAAACAGACAATGGCAGGCATGCAGTTTTCTGCCTCCTTAAATGAAAGTAGAAAGCAACATATGGTGGTAGGATTCTCTGTAGATTTGACTTTAAAACCATGCCCCAGTCCTAACCCCTGACAGCCTTCAATGTGGTGAGTACAGCAGTTTTTAGGCAGATGCCTCTTTCAATTTAGAACTTAGGTAGTTTCTGTGTTATGGCATGCTTTGAATGTAAAAATTGTGTTTAAAATGAAGACTTCATGATGGTTCAATCAAATTTCCTAAATTAATCTGCCCTGAATTTGAGGTCTACACTCTGACTAAATTCTAGAAGTACAGTGATGGGGAGAGAGGAATGACTCA